TATGGGAAACTGGTAATGTATATCGAAATATCGGAAATGTGTTTAAAAATCATATCACCGTTATTGAAAAAAATTATATCGCGATACATATTGATATTGAATTATTGTCCAGCCCTAGCCTAGCATTTAGCACAGGTTGGCTAAAATGTGTTTCATTTTTGAGGAAGAACAGAATTAAAACAGGCTCTACAGCTACCCTGACACTTATCAGAATGTCAAACAATAGGTCACCACACCTCTGAGAATAGTTCTGTTTATTACAGTCAGGCCTGACCAATCTTTGCTTTTGTCCTGAGGTTATTAGAGCTCTGTTGGACAATGGGACGTGATGGAGATTCAATGCAATTCATTGTGTAGCAAAAAAATGACTCGTTTTGTTTTAATTCTTCCCTCAACAGCAACTGACCTTCCCGCTGATGCTGACTGTCGGGACGGCTGTGATCGGCTCCCTTCAGTTCGGCTACAACACAGGTGTCATCAATGCCCCGCAAAAGGTGAGTGACAAGCACATACTCACGCATGCGCAAACTCTTTATTGTTCACCCTGATGTCCCAGGTGTGTCCTTGGACTTTGACATTATTAAAACGCTACCCTTTTCACTCAGTCATGTACTGCTGCAGCTGTTTCCAAATCCCTGTCTGTCAGTGGACACACACACATACACTCTCACATCAACATAACACAAATGCCTCCTGTACAACTCCAGGAGGACTGCATACTTGCTCTATACATCTCCTCAAGTTTGCCTTAACAAATGTTAAACAAATTTAACATTTGTTAAATAATAAGTGACTAACTGCCTATCAAATATACATTAAATATGCTCTCTGTTCTGGTACAGGGTGTAGGTCATCTCTCACACATAGCACAGCTTGTTCAGACATGTGTGTTGAACTAGGGGCCAGGCTTTGCTTATGTGAATGGAGCTTTTCTGGCTTTTAAACACTATATGGAGTGTATAGATTCTATATTCTCACTATATACTCACACTCCTCTTCCTGGCTAGAGAAACCAGAAATTGACTTATTAATACCTACCGTAAAGAAAAAGATTTGTATGTGTGTCTGCGTGGTTGTGTAACAGGTTTGTATAATGATGGGTCAAACCCAGAGGCACATGACTTTAACCATGCACGATATTTATGTGATGCTGATGCATTGAAGGGCTTTCTGCATGCCTAAGGTGTCAGACAGCTGATGACGAGAAAGGAGAGACAGGAAGTAGTCGCAGAGAACTGGTTTCCTAACCTTAACATGTCAACAGATCATACAGAACAAATTTTTAACTTTTTTTCCCCTTTATAACGCAGCTTCGGAAATGCCACCATGTGGCCATTCCTCCTTGGCTTCACCTTTATCCCAGCCCTGCTGCAGTGCTGTTTACTGCCCTTCTGCCCCGAGAGCCCTCGATTTCTCCTCATCATCCGGAACGAGGAAAACAAAGCCAAAGCAGGTGAGCACGGACCCACATCACCTAAACATCCCCACTTATCCAGCGTAGGAGTGTTTTCATCAATGTAAACATGTTTTCATGTGCCTTTAGTGCTTAAAAAGCTGCGCGGGATGACGGATGTGAGTGCAGACATGCAGGAGATGAAGGAGGAGAGCAGACAGATGATGAGAGAGAAGAAAGTGACCATTCCTGAGCTGTTCCGCTCTCCGCTCTACCGACAGCCCATCGTTATAGCCATCATGCTGCAGCTGTCCCAGCAGCTTTCTGGAATCAATGCTGTGAGTACCTTCATGCACACGCGTTTACAGGTTAAACAAAGACAAACCTTAGACCTTTACCTTTACTGTTTTATATAAACTCGATTTTATTTTTAACCCTAACTGGCGCTAACATTGTTGTGTAGGTATTCTACTACTCTACAAAGATCTTTGAGAAGGCAGGTGTGCAGCAGCCAGTTTACGCCACTATTGGAGCAGGAGTCGTCAACACAGCTTTCACTGTAGTGTCGGTGAGTATCAGTATGCAAACAGACATGAGCATGAACCTAACAGAACCATTGCTGTTGCTGTAGTAAAAATTATATATAATATTCAATGTTATTCATCTCAAAATGACCAAATATTATCTATCACTAGTGTGTACTGTATATACAATATAGAGTATTTATTTTGCATAATATTAATATGATTTGTTATTGTTATGCAGCTGTTTGTAGTTGAGCGAGTGGGCCGCAGGTCTCTGCACCTCTTGGGACTGCTGGGAATGGCTGGATCTGCTGTACTGATGACCATCGCTCTTGCCTTGCTGGTATGCAAATAATATATATTTACTTAAATGGCAGGGCATCTGTGTTTAGAGTTATTAATCATTCAGAATGTCATCCTTGTGGACCGAAGGTTTACAATATATTTGATCTGACGGCATTATTGCCCATCTCTCTAACAGGAAAAGTACGACTGGATGTCCTACATGAGCATCGTAGCAATCTTTGCATTCGTGGCCTTCTTTGAGATCGGACCGGGCCCCATCCCATGGTTCATTGTGGCTGAGCTGTTCAGTCAGGGCCCAAGACCCTCTGCATTTGCTGTTGCTGGATTCTCCAACTGGACAGCGAACTTTATCGTGGGCATGTGCTTTCAGTATGTCGAGGTAAGAGGCCAGTGAGAATTATATGAAGGAAGTGGACACATTTGTTTTGGCTGGTTTAACTTTATTCTCTCTGTCTTTCTTGTGCTTTAACAGGAGCTCTGTGGGGCGTATGTGTTTGTCATCTTCACCGTATTTTTACTGTGCTTCTTTGTCTTCACCTACTTCAAAGTCCCAGAGACCAAGGGCCGGACGTTCGACGAAATCTCCGCCGGTTTCCGCCAGGCAGCGTCAGGTGCTGAGAAGCACTCACCCGAGGAGCTCAACAGCCTGGGGGCGGACTCTCAACTTTAAACCCCTCCTCTAACCCCGCCTCCCTCACCTGGTCACTCTTCTGCACGCAACTACTGAGGAGAAGGGGTCAGCGGGCTGTCAATCAAACATTTCCCCCCTTCTCACGGCTGCACTCACCTCTTAGTCCCCCCGCGCTCCCCGATGGCTTCACATGGCCAGCCGAACTGCAGCTGCTGGATGCCAGACACCGAGTTTGAAAGGCAGGGAGTAAGAGTAGTCATCATATTCCTTCTATAAGAAAGATGATCGTTTTAAGACATGTTTGAGGTATTGTATTTTGCATTGGAATTGCTTTGGCTAGGTTTTAGGTTTTTAAATCTACCTTAACTGTTACTTCTGCTGTGCTACGAGAGAGTAAAAAATCGCCGGAGGTCACGGGGTCACTCCTGATCGAGCCGCTACGCTCTTGATGTCAGAAATCCACATGCCAAATGTACGCTGACTGACAATTCAATACTGTATTCCAGATAACTGTATCTCATTTAAACAAAAAAAAAATTATATATATATATATATAAACATATTTGAACTAAAAGTGAGTTATATAAGCCCCAAAATATGTCATCTATGATGTCATCCATTGAAACAATGACGTTTTATATATATATATATATATATATATATATATGTACATTTATGTAAAACGCTTCTGCATAGCAAGCATTTTTTGTTATTTTAACACTTTACAGGGTATTTTATCCCTGTTTTCATATCAATAAGTCTTCTGTTCTTGCTTTTCAAGATGCGTCACATCTTTTAAATATATTTATATTGTGTAACAAATTCACTTGCTTTCTCTATGAAATGTAGATCGTTATGATCACTCCAGTAGGAGACAAACAGAACATTTCTTAAATTGTTTCATTATGTTACTTGTCACCAAATATTACATCTACCCAACTTTTTAATGTAAGGTCGTCACTTTATAATGCACAATCAGACATACTCTTTAATGAAAGTATTAGCATCAGTGCAAGTGAATGTTGATCATAAAGTACAGCAGATATCAGACATTCATAATATTCCACTTCAGCATAAGTTCAGATATCAGTAGTTTGAAATGCGTTTTGCACAGTCAACTCCCTCCAGCGAAGGGGGAATATTCAAGTTGGGAACCACGGAGAGTGACCAAAATGCACTGTGACTGGTGGCGTGATTAGAGTGCACTGAACAGCCTTCCTCTTCATCTTCATCTGATGGAAGAGCTGCAAAACCAGACCATTGATGATGCTGTTAGTACAAACCATCTGTCTGTTGAGAAGCATCTGCTGTTCAACTTGCTCTGACAGACATGTTTGGAAACGCAGTATGCCTGGCTTCAATGTGCCTTGTCATTTTTTTTAAACTTCTAGTTTTCCTTTTTTAACCTAGTATGTTCACCCTTGATAGTTTACCCTTAAGTATTTTGTGTTTTTTACGTACATCAAAGTCATCAAATGAGGTTTTTCACTTTGAACTTGCGTGAGCATATATATGTAGTCTGCTGTTAAACATTATTCTGTCTTTTAAACACTCCAGAATAAACTGTAGTTTTGTTTTTAGGTGAAAAACCTACATAATTGATCTTCACCTCTAATAAATCACCTATATTTGTGACTTTTTAGACATATCAAATACCTGTAAATGAGTTTTTTTCACTTTGAGTAGAGTTTGAGTGTGTGCATGTGATATTTGGCCAGTTCGCCAGCGATACAACAGGTCAAATTAATTTCTGTGCACAGCATTCCATATGGGAGTATCTTGTGTGTGTGTTTTTGACATTTTGTACACATCGGAAAGACACAAGTGTGTGTGTGTGTGTTTTTCAGATCGTATGCATGTTCACATGAACTCTCAGAATGAGCGTGTCCCATTGAAATCACTGATGTGTGTTGTGTGGAATTGTCAAAGAAACATTTTATAGCCTATGGAGAGTTCTGTGATTTCCCACTGTAACTAAATAAGGAATGTAAAATAGGTGAATTTTATGTCTAAGACATTGTAGTTTTATAGTGTGATTTTAATAGCTGTACCATTCTCATTTGTCATTTTCCTCTGTTTTTATAATGTAGAATATATTTCTCTTTCTTTTCTTTGATGCACTATCATGGTAGTCAATACTGTAAGACAATTTAAACATCTTACTGTTTTTGTTTTGTTTACCATACTGTATTTATTAGAACACCTAATTTATTTAGTTTTTTTGCTTTCAGTTTTACTTATGGAAATAAATTTGTTAGGAAAATAAATAAAACATTGTGTTTGTGAATGAATAGAGGATCAGCGTGGGTAGTTTAAAGGAACACTCCACTATTTTTGAAAATAAACTCATTTTCCAACTCCCCTAGAGTTAAACAGTTGAGTTTGACCGTTTTCGAATCCATTCAGCCGATCTCCGGGTCTGGCGGTAGCACTTTTAGCTGTAGCTTAGCATAGATCATTGAATCTGATTAGACCGTTAGCATCTCGCTCAAAAATGACCAAAGAGTTTCTATATTTTTCCTATTTAAAACTTGACTCTTCTGTAGTTACATTGTGTACTACAGAATGATATGGCTAGGAACTATACTCTCATTCCGGCGTAATAATCAAAGAACTTTGCTGCCGTACTATGGGTGCTAACGTACTATGGGTATGTTGTATATGCTCCGGAATGAGAGTATAGTTCCTAGCCATATCGGCCTAGAAAATCACAACTTTCCATTTTCCGTCGGTCTTAGTACACAATGTAACTACAGAAGAGTCAAGTTTTAAATAGGAAAAATATAGAAACTCTTTGGTCATTTTTGAGCGAGATGCTAACGGTCTAATCAGATTCAATGATCTATGCTAAGCTACAGCTAAAAGTGCTACCGCCAGACCCGGAGATCGGCTGAATGGATTCGAAAACGGTCAAACTCAACTGTTTAACTTTAGGGGAGTTGGAAAATGAGCCTATTTTCAAAAATAGTGGTGTGTTCCTTTAAGGCCCTGTCCACACGAACGCGGTTATTTTTAAAACCGCAGCTTTTTCTACGCGGTTAGGTCATTCGTCCACACGCAAACGCAGCATCAGGTTACTGAAACCGAACATTTTTGAAAACACCTGCCAGGGTGAAGATTTTCAGAAACTCCGGTTGCAGTGTTATAGTTTTTGGCTCGTGACGTCGGCGCCTGCGCTGTTATCTCCGCCTACTGGAGACTTTTTCAGGCTTCTGATTGGCCAACATGGCTTTACGATTGAGATTATATCACCACCTGTTGGTTTGGCATGCTCTTGACAGTGCTTCATTGCATGCGTTTGCGTTTTCATGTGGACGGAGATTTTTTTTTAAATGGAAGAAAAACTGTTTATAAAAATACCCGTGTACGTGTGGACATGGCCTTAGCTCAGTGGTGTCCAACAAGTGGTTCTGATTAATCAAACACACCTGATTCAGTTTACTAGATAAAACTCCAAGAACTGAAATTGGTGTTATTTTGGAGATGTCTATAATAACCACTGCTTTAGCTTCCACCTTTTAGAGCTGCAGAAATCAAGACCCTCATGAAAAGTAGGTTGAACAATTTAATTTCTAAATCAGCAAAGCAAATTAATTCTGGCAGTGTTGTGTAGTGAAGTGTCGGCCTCTCATAACAAAGCAGTTGTGAGGGTGTGCTGAAATTCTCTGGTCAGCCAAAGATAAATGAAACTGGATTCCTCTCATTGTTTTGGATATGTATAGATGTGTCCATACAAGGGAATGCAGAGGCAAAACAACTGAAAAGTGTGGGTAAAAAATGATTACCACCTATTTAATTTCATATTATATACAGCTGCATGTGATTATAATGTGTATGTGTGTAACGTCACACATGCATATAAAAAAAGTGTTTTTTTCAATGTAAAAAAAAAAAAAAAGGGCATGGCAGGTTGAATTTGAAGTCAAATTAAAATTGATCCAGGTCTAAAATATATGTTTCTGAATTGCCAGTGTATAAAACCATGCAAATGATTTGAATAAAGTTTAGCCATGAATTATTAAATGACGCATAGAAAGATCAGTGCAGTGCTATACATGCAAATCTGCATGAAAATGTCTCTGCATGAAAAAACCTCATGCATTAATATTTGCATTCACACCATATCATGTACCATCTCAAATTTATTAAAAAAAAAAAATAATTTCTCACAAAATAATATCAAATAATATGACAGAAACTTCATGTAAACTTGCCAAATTAACATCAGAGCTCAATTTAGCTAGATGAGAAATGTAGAAGGATGCCAAAATAAAATAATAATAAATCAAATAGGACAAATCAAATATTTATACCTTTCAAGTGTGCATTTGAGAACACACTGCAAAAACTGCATCATTAAGCACATACATACAAATAAGAGGACAAGAGAATTATATAATCTGGGATGCTCAAGAGCACTTTGGTTTGAAAACCCAAAACCTGAGTTTGACTCCAGTCCTCCCCCGTCCCGCAGAGGAGACGTACACCATCTGACATTTCTAGTACCCATCTATACTCATCATCCGGAGCTGCTCAAAGAAAACAGCATTGTTACATATGGACATATCAAAAACAATCAACTATTATAAGCTTCTTAAGAGGTATATGGTTCAATGATGATGTGAATAAACACATTTTTAGAACCATCTATTATTACATAACACAATACCGAAGATAAAACAATTGCAAAAGGCAGAGCAAAATAACACAAATGCTGCTTTATGGTAATTCTAGCTAAGCATGACACTTTTTGTCCTTCATTTGGCTTATTAAAACCATATTTACTGTCACACACAATATAAGCCTGTCCTTCATATGAAAAAAAAAAATTACAACTGTCCATTCAAAACTGTATGAACAACCAAAAATGTACATCTTTTCATTAAAAAAAAATTCCTATCAGCACTTGAATATCAATGTTTGAGGAATGCAAACTGAAATATTTTTTTGAATCTAAATTATGGTATCAGTCGGAACATTCATGTGCGTTTTTTTGGTATTCGTACATTAGGAAGCTGTCTGAATCATTCTTTAAGAGTTCAGTGCATTTGAGCTTTACATTTGTTTGTTTTTTTGCATAGAGTAAACCAAAGCTGAAGAGGCCGAATCCTTTCCTCTCAGGCGAGTGAAGGTTCTCCGTGAACTCTGAAGCGATACACACAGGTGTATTCCAGATGACCCCAGTTACTCAAGATCCTCAGCTCTGTCATGCTGTAGACGTCTAACGCTTCCTGTAGCCGAGAAAACAGGAAGAATTTAATTCGAATTTTAGGATAAATTTCACAAAATCATATCTAGGTCATACCTAGGTACGGCAAAAATGCATATGTATTTTTATATAAATATATAATTTGTTTATTTGTATATATAAAATACATATAAAATTATACCTATATTAGTAACTTTTTTTCCCCCTGATTATTATTATAAATGTGTCCAGACATTTTATTATTGTTAATCAATAATACAATTATTTTATTTAAATCAGCATATATACACACCACTGCTCCAAAAATTGAGGTAAGATTTTTTTAAAAGTAATTCATACTTTTATTCAACAAGGATGCATTAAATTGATCAAAAGTGATAATGAAGACATTTATAATGTTATAAATGATTTCTGTTCCAAATAAATGCTGTTCTTTTAAGCTTTCTATGCTTTAAAGAACCCTAAAAAATTTATTTATGGTTTACACAAAAATATTAAGCACCACAACTGTAGCAGCAAATCAGTGTTATTTTACATTTTTAAATTACAATAATATTTCACAATTAAAAGTTTCCAAACTTCTAAACAGTAATGTATTTTTTAAATACAGGAATACTACATATACTACCATGATATGATGATGATACTTGATGAAATTGTCTATTTTGACTCACCGGAAGCTTGAAAGTCTGAATGGGCTCTCCATCCTGGTCATATGTGAATGTCCCGAGCAACTTTCCGTCTTCAGTCTCATTAGACATACCCTGAACACAGAACAGGCGAGGAATCTCAAAGCTGTTGTTTAATCATTATTACACAGAAAAAAAAAACCATTGAAATATCAACTCACATAGACAGCAAAATCCTTAGGCGCGCTGTCAACGCGGCCCGTCGGCGAGAGCTCTTTGGGAAGGTGTTCGAGTGTCACGTGGGTGATTCTTACTGGGTAAGACAGTGCGATTACCAGAAAACCCTGGGAGCCTCGGAATGCCCAACACTTCCCGGGATACAGCTCTGGCTACAACACACACATGGAAGCTTAGAGAGTCAGATCAGTGTCTATGTGACAGTGTTTGTGCGATTTGTTACCTGTATAACAGTCCGAGGGCTTTCTGAATGATACCACAGAGGAATGCCGAATAAACTCAGACACGCAGATCTGGTCTTATACGTCTCCGAGCAACGAGTGTTGAGCACACTGGCACCTACACAAACACACACACTTAGTCGTGTCCAGTAAAGTCACGTATATAAAGAAGTCTCTTACGTTCACCAAGTCTGCATTCATTTGATCAAAAATACAGTAAAATTGTGTAATATTATTACAGTTTAAAAGAACTGTTTTCTGTTTTTAAATATATTTTGAAATGTTATTTATTCCTGTGATGGCAAAGCATCACACACACACACACACACACACACACACATACACACACACACTTAATAAACAATGGAAATTAGTACCAGAAGATTCCAAGGCATAGTCCGCCATTCCAATCCCATCTGCCCTGTACAGACTAATTGCCCTGTGGACAATTTCTTTCACATCCTGTTACACATACAAAAATTCTCATTAAAAGGCATCATGAATTCAACTTCAAACTAAGACTAAAACTCACAAATTAAGCGTTAGCGTTAGTTCTGGCAGGTCACGTGAGTCAAGCTTGCATCAGCTGATTCTCAGCTGATCACATCTACCTATAGGAATACGACACCTATCGTGGCATTCCTATATAAGCTCTATTCAGTATTATTCTGCAGCTTTTCAGCTTGCTCCGGAGCAAATTACCCTCCTCCATCCCCAGCTCCTCCTTTCGCCACAGTCAGGACTTGGCTTTCTGATATTCCTTGCTAATCAGACTCCTTTATCTTGAATAAAGTGTTACACTTAAATATCATTAAGTACATTAATGATATCTGCCTTGTTCTGTTCTGTTAACCCTAGGGGGGTTATTATTGCTGCTCTCCCTGCTCATTCATGACAGGCTGCATGGATGGGCAGGGAGGTTTTTGCCCAGAACAGAACCATACCGCCAAACCAAACTTTATGCTAAGTATCTATCATTTTGACGATAGTGGTCCTGACAGAAACACTCTTTTCCTTTGGCATCCCAGCACACACAGACACACACTTGTATAGTGGCGGCTCCGACTCCTTCCTGTTGCAGTGTTTCTCCCACGGTCCTCCAGACATCTCTGCTCCTCTCTTTCTCATGCACTAGCTTGTCTAGTATCCGTTTCTCCAGATCCTCCAGCGCCCTCTGCAGCTCAGGACGGAGCACTATGGTTGACTCCAATGAGCTTGGATCTTTCAGGTGTTTTATTAGCCAATCGGAGAGCTCTGCTCTCAGCTGCAGAGGAAATGACATCATTAGTTGAATAATAAGTAATCGCAATCATCACATCAAAGGAATTCGCTAAAATGTGCCAAAAGCATCCTTACGTTGTTGTTGAGAGTGTCTTGTGCATCAACTCTTTCCTTGAGGAGACCTTGGGCCGACTGAAGGTTTGAGATGCTGGACTTCAGATTAGAAATCTGCTGCTCGTGTTCAGCCTCAGCACTATTGAATATTAAACATATTTCATCACCGGATGAAATAATGATGCAACATGCAAAACAACATTAAACAAAGTCCACAAAATCAAAGTAAAAAACTGACTTCCTCATTTGATCATTCATAGACTTCAGATCAGTTTGCATCATCTAGGAGACAAGCACAAAAATACCCAGTTACTGTAGGTGGATGACACCATTTCCTGTTTTGTGTTTTGTTGCTATGACAGAAGAAACCGAGGTGGTAGAAAGGAAGAAGGAACGTTTCGTTTCTTCACCTCAGATTTGACCTTCTGTCGCATGCTCTCCATCTTCAGCAGTTCGAGGTCTCTCTGAGATAACAGACAAAGAGAAAGAAATTGGGACACTTCCTCTTCAACAGACAGACATACATGATAGTGCTTAGATTTGAATTACCATCAGGTTTGCCTCCCTTTCATGCAAGCTGGCAATCTCATCTTTCAAATGAGACAGGCTGGCATGTTGGAGATGATCCTAAAGAGCAAAAAGTGCATAAATAATTTAAGAGAAATATGCGATAACTATGTATGATGCAGGACCTTTTTGAGGTCTAACTGAACTGGAGAAGATCTACTCACATCAACAGCTTCTTTCACTGGTCTATCTGTGTGTTTAACAGATGGAGCCCTGGAAACAACCTCATGAGGAGGAGAACGAGACGCAAACGGGAACCAGTACCATATTCCTGCAACACAATGTTAGGTAATTGGATATTAATGGTAATTACTCATATATTCAGGCATTTTTTACAGCTACGTGTACTGTATACAGTCTTAAAGGTTCTTGTGTGCATTGTGGGTTATCTTGAAATACATAGGTTTCGTTTTTTGATATTTTAAAAGAGTCACTATCCGTTGTCTCACCAAAAATGAGAAAGATGAGAAGGAGGACCAGAAGTATAGCCTTTCTCATATCTGCTGTGCATCTAAAGAGAGAGAAAGAGGAAATGTGATCATGTGTAAATATAAATGTTCTTAAAAAAAAAACATTTGCATTAACAGAAAGAAGCTGCTAAAATATTTTACAGCTGAGTGCATCTAGAAATTAATTTAATTCACTTAATTCCTTTAAGTTTTTAATAATTTCCAAGACTTTTCCAGACCTGGAAATCACAACTATTTTCTATCCCTTAAGGCTTAGTCTGTGAGACTCAGTAAAGTGTTTTGAGCTTGCTATGTTTTTTTGTAATTAAAAAAATTATTGATGTTGATCTAGACAATAAAAAGGTTCTTATAAAGGTTAAGGTGCATGAAAGTTACAGTGAATTATTACATAACTATCATACATATTCTTAAGGCCACACATTTCGTAATTAGGACACACACACACACACACACACACACACACACACACACACAGAGCACTGTACCTGCTGAGCAGAAACACATTGATCAGAGACAGTCGAGAGGTCAGGCTGTACCATGAACTTCCCAGCCACCAGTAGAACATAACCAGAGCCTGAGCTGCGACACACACATGAGCACATGACTATAGCAGGGGGAAAAAAGCCTGATTGTTCATGTTAGTGGGGTGAAGGGAGGGTTTATACATTTAATACCTGGGGAGTGAAACACGTCCCACACGACAAAGGCTGGTTCAGCTACAGTCTGGGCAGAACCTGGAGAAAAGGGAAAATAAAGAGTAGAGTTTTTACAACCTTCTTTGCTTGACCATTCATAAAAAAAAAAGACCAGCCCAACCAACCAACCAGCCAGTGATTTTTCCCCGCATTTATAAAATGTGTAATGCACACTTACTAGGGTTTGATTTTGTGGGTTGTTCATAATGCTCCTCAGCTGAGGAATATCCAGAGGAGAATCCTTGAGTAGCAAAGCGCATGCCTGCAACCCAAGAGACAGTGAGACAAAATGCATATACAAAAATATATATATATAAACATAAATATAATTGTATTTATTAATTCATTTGTTTGTTTGTTTGCAGGTCCTGTGTGTGCAGATACCAACCATTCTCAGTGGCAGTGAATTCACTGCGCTGCCCAGAAAGTGTCTGACTCACGCTGCTTGCGCGACTTGAATTGCGGGAAACACTGCCTGCGCTCTTGCGACCGGTCCTCTTCTTGAAGATCCTGCAGGAAAGCCTCTGTATCAGGTGAAAATGCACATGCAAACTATCTTTATGATGTACTGAGAGCTCCTGCAAATACAAACACACCTGGTTGGGCTCTCTTTATAAGAGATGTGACCGGTGGATCCAGTGGAGCTCGTGCTGGCAGCGTCATCATCAGGGAAGGAGGACAGCCCTTTGGGCACTAACCTTGTGCTTCGCCTTGACATCTCTGCAGAACACATGAAGATATACATTGTGTAGAAAGTACTTTAAATTATTGGTGGTGACCAAACATCACTATGACTAGTATTACTGCTCATACTGTATTTAGGTCCCTATATAGGGACCATGCACATTAAATGCAGTGTTAATGCAGACTCACTGCTCACAGGAAACCAAGAAAACATTGTGAATCAGATCACCATGATGAGAAACATCACAATAAATGTGACACTTAAGACGCTCTCCACAGCTTGTCATTGCAGTCACAAAGTGTAGTGTGATACTGATCTTTGTGTAATTCCTAATCACAAACAGCAGGCTCCTCCCGTGCAGGGTGACGAAGCTTTTAGCAGCAGATTATGTGAAGGAGAACACGTGGAGCTAATTCTCAGGCCATGGACCTCCAGTTCCCCTTCAGTCAGTTACAATAAGTCCCTTTAGTTGGATAATCTCAACAACAGACTGCACTTTACACTTTAATTAGCTAGGAATCCACCTTTCTGTGCAGATGGAGAAATACAAACACTCATTCGGTGCTCCTGTCGCCTATTTGTTTTAATACAGCATTCATGATTCGTAATGAAAGCCTAATTGAGCTAATACTCTCACGCAGCATTAAAAACATGCCTGCAACATTTACAAACTACTCAATGGCCAGTGCTGGGGGGAAAACACTAAGATGAAACTAAATCCCCATCTTCAGCTAATAATCCCTCTAACAGCTTTTTTAAACTGACAGCGTTGTCTCGGCAGCTCAGCTGTGTTCATTAAATTCATCATCTCATTTATTTCTTGATCTTTTTTATTACACGATTAACATGTTTTCTGATAACTGGGGAACCTGTAAATATATTTTTACTCTTCTCTCTTCATGTAATATTTGCAAATGATTCAAAACACACTTTTAATACAACTTTTCTATTATTAATTATTAATTAAATATTATTAATTAAAACTATTATTAATTATTTGTAAAAAATTAGATAATTTTTTTTTCCAAAATAGAACTGGTTGGAAAAAAATATAGTGTTTCTATATTATTGTTTTGTACACTTTTTTTTCAAGGGGAAAATATCTTATTCATATAATATTTGCAAATTATTCAAAACACACTTTTAATACAACTTTTCTATTATTAATTAAACATTAATTATTAATAGCT